GTTCTTATTTTTCAACTGGATATTATGACAGCATATCTCAGAGCCACAATAAGTTCAATATGTCCAAATATAAAATCTATGCCCTTAAAATTTTTGGTGTCTCTTGTCCCAAATATCAAAATGTATCTCTTTGCACATTTTCTTAACCTCTGCCTTATCTTCTGGAAACCACAATTACTAAGAATATAGGAGTCTTTGTCTACAGGGCAAGTATCAAAGTCTCTGGGATAGGAGTTAGGGAGAAATAAAATGCATTGAAGACTTAATAGGACAAGAGCTTGTTGCAGACTTGCATATATATGGTAGAGTCAATATCTGCAATATCAGTCAGTCCAACCTATAAATGAGAAAGATAAGGCTTCTGAAGACTGTTGAAATTTTATGTATGTTTTAAAGGGAAAACAGTCACTATAGTGATAATTTTCCACTTACTCATTATAGTCCAGTCACAGTGAACCTCTTTTAATTCCTTAAATGCTTTGAAAAACCAATCTCTGAGATTTCACATGTGCTTTTCCTTCCACCTGGAATATTCTTTTTTTTTTAAGTTTCTTTTTATTGTTGAGGTTATTATAGATGTCCCCCATTTCCCTCCCCTTTGCCCTACTCTGCCCAGCTCCCACCCTACCCCAGGCCTTCATCACACTATTGTCTGTGTCCCTGGGCTATGTATATATGCGCGTAAGTTCTTTGGTTAACTTCTTCCTACCCCCCACCTTCCTTCTGAGATCTGTCAATCTGTTGCATGCTTCCATGTCTCTGGACCTATTTGTTCATCAGTTTATTTTGTTCATTAGATGCCACATATAAATGAGATCCTGTGATATTTGTCTTTCTCTGACTGGTTTATTTCGCTTAACATAATAATCTCCAGGTCGATCCATGCTGTCTCAAGGGATGACATCCTTCTTTTTTATAGCTGCATAGCCCACCTAGAATATTCTTTTTCATCCCTGCCATCTTTGCCATACAATTTCCTAATAACTTTCAGCATTTGGTTCTAGTTACTTTCTCAGAGATACGTTCTACTCATTCTTCCTACTTGCACCCTTTGATGTTTTCATTATAGTGTTTATCACACTTTCCAATTATATATTAATCTGTTTCCTTGTTTAATGCATATATCATCTACTAGGTTGAAAGCTCAGTGAGTACAAGTATGCCTTTTTCTTCAAGAAAACTTCTATAAAACTACTGTTTAGCATAGTGTCATACACAGGGTCAGTTATCTATAAATGTGTTATGTAAATGAATGCTTTGGTAGTCTACATTCCTATTGTAGCCTCTAGCCACATGAAACTATTAAAATTAAAATTAAACAACATTAAAATCCATTTCCTTGGTCATACTAGTCATATATCAACATGAACAGCCACATGGATATTGTGTTGGAGAGTAAAGACAGAGATACTGTGTTGGGGAGTAAAGACAAAGAACATTCCCCTCACCACAGAAAATTCTACTGGACAGCATTAGTCTACAACAAACAATTAATAAAAGAGTGGTGATAAATTAAGGACCTTTTAAAAATCTACTCATAGATTCTATCTTAGAAATATCTTTTGGACTTACTCATATATCTTCATTCCTACTATCTTTAGGAAACCACCTAACATGTCTCCTAGGCACAAATATTTCTCAACCCAGATGCATTCCTCAAATTATTGCTAAATATATATTACCTATCAAGTCACATATCTGCTTAACAAATTTATAACTTCTCATTGCCTACAGCATAGAGTTTAAACACCTTAACATAGAAACAAGACTTCTTATCTTCCAATTTAGCACCCCAATCTCAAAATGACATGATTCCCATTTACACCTCTGAGTTCCACTTGTAAGATTTCACGGTTCTGGAAACAAAATATACTCTGTAACAACGCTGCCTAAAATACCTGTCGCCTCCCCACTAGGACCCAATTTTTTAGCTTTACTGAATACTCAGAGTTCTCAGATCTGAGCTCTATCACATTATATTGGGATTATCTTTTTATATTTCTATTACGTTCACTGTACTATGAGGTTCTAAAACAAAAAGATAATAGCTTACTTATTTCTCAGTGCCTAGTGTACTGCACTTTGCATAGAACTTATATTTTATTGTTGAAATAATGAAATAATAAAATAGTGAATAAATGGGTTATGAAATTTAATAAGATTCCCTTTATTCTGTAAATGATTCTTTAGTCATTCTTGTGTAATTTCAACCTACTCCCAAAACACCTTCCTCATCACTCACTATATACTGCTCAGTCTGAAAGGAAGATGTTTGACAAGTCAATCAAACAACTTTGACTTAGTTTAGGAGCTGAAGAGGTGGGGAGCTTTTAATTGTCAATAGTTTTTCATTGGGCTGAAATTATTGGTTAAAAATTAAAACAACAATTATAGCAAAAGCAACAAAACCTGAATATTTCCAAATAAATAGGTTCTATGGAAAAATTCTGGTGAAAAAATATTATGAAGGACTTGCATGTTAGTGCAAAGATTTGTAAACTCAGTATAGTATGCAGTTAACTCTTAGTTCTCTCTAACATGATATCATCCCTTCCTTCTTAGATTTTTGCTTATATCTATCAAACACAGTTTTGTTTCATAGCAGAGATGAATTTTGTTATTATTTGTTGAAAATAGAAAAACAATCTTATAATAATCCAACGGGGGTTAAAAAATGAAACAACAGAGAGAAAGATATTCCAAATAATGTCAAAATAACATTTTTTATGTGAAAAAAAAATTTAACAGTAACGATGATGTTGTTGAGTAGCTGTTTGTTAATTACATTTTTTGGTTTTTTTCAGGACAAGACTTTAAAAAAAAAATTTAATCTCATCAGTGATGTCTCCATTTAGAAATGCTTACTTTTTGCCACATGTTAATCCTAAATTATTAAATAAAGTTAAAGACATGGGCAGGGCATGTTGCAATTGGGAAATTACAAAGAAAGCATTTAGAACAAAATACTATATGTCAACGTTTGACCAATAAATCATATGTGAAGTGGTAAATTCGAAAGATAGTGTTCACTTAAAACAGTGATTGAGTAGAGATATACTAATGTGAGAACCTCTATTGTATCTTTTAAAAAAGAAAACTCATCCATCACATGTCCTTATTTGATCTCACAATTTGTTAGCTTTTTATCCAAAAGCAATAGCATGACAAAATCTTGCTGTGTGGCCTCAGAGGTTTTGTGGTGGGAAGACTCAAGCATTAGAATTCTCTCTGCCTTTTCAGTCTGTAGGAGTTTGTTCATATTTAAATAAAATATCCCATGGCTGACACTTAAAGTCCAGATTATATTTTTAATAAAAGAATTTCATAAATGGGGCAACTAAATTTCTTTTTAATATATTTCTCCACCTCTAAGATTAATTTTCAGTATATTGATAGGATAAAAATATTCAACATTATAAATGAATTTCTATCAATTAATTGAATTAAACCTATCAAAAAATAAGTATTGCACTGGTTCACAAAACACACAGTTGTAAACCAGTTCATCAGAAAGTGACTCTTGAAATACACTTAATTGATTGTAAATCTCACGACATATTTAACATAGCTCACTTATACAAATGATGTCAGGCCATAGTAAGGCCTTTCAGGGCCTGGATCCTGCTATTGTAAGGCATGCTTCAGTACACCAACACATTAGCAACGGCCATTCATCTCCAGGCAAGAGGCTTCGAGAGAATTTAATGTGAATTCTTAGACTCTGAAAGAATGAGAATGCTTTTTAGAGAATCTGTCCCCTGGGGGTGAAGGGATCAGTGAGAGACAGCATTACCGGCTAAGTCACTAGGTAAAGAATCATCTGTGCTCACAGGTTGGCTGCACTCAAAAGTCATGTTTTCATTAGCACCTTTGAGTGCAATGATGGTTTGTGTTACTGTCCCTGGAAGTATTCAAAAGCCTGAGGGCACAGATTGAGACAAAAAAGGAGATAGGCTCAGATGGAAGAAAAAGTTTGTACAAGACCTTAGAAGCTTCCCACTGAGAATATTTATTAGCTTAACATCTCTTCCTCTTAATAACTGAGTTTATACTGAAGGTGTCTGTCTATTTAAGAAAAGTTATTTTGTGTGTCGTCTGATACACCAAGAGGTTCTGGGTTCTACTCCTGGCCAGGGCACATACCTAGGCTAGGGGTTCAATCCCGGGTCAGGATTCATATGGGAGGCAACCAATGGATGTTTTTCTCTCACATTGATGTTTCCCTCTCTCTCTCTCTCCCCCCTCCCTCCTCTCTCTAAATATCAATGAAAGTGTGTCCTCAAGTGAGAATTGAAAAGAAGAAAAAAAAAAGAAAAAGTTATTTTAGTAAAGATAAATCCAACCAAAAAAAATAACATACTAAAGTTATAAATAGATCCAGTAGCATTATTATTCTACAAAGCTTGTATTCACTCAAATGAGAGTTTTGATGGCACAAAATGTGTCTCATAGAGTTTCTGTATTTTCCTGTAACTTACACAAAATAGCAATATTAAAAAACTAATTGTTTCCTTCTTTAAAATAATTGTTGTGTTTTGGTTTATTATGGTTTTTTTCCTCTTTATCTCATTTTTTCTCAAACCCTAAACTAGATTAATGTTCTAAACATATTTACTATAGTAATACCATAACCATATTTTCAACTTATTTGATCCAGGTAAAGAAATATTTCAGATGTGCCATGAGATCTGTGTTTTGCTAAAAATAGAAGATATGATTCTTTTAGTGTTTAAGTTACTCTTGGGATTACATTAAGTTGCTTTCAATTTCAAAATACGATTATTAAATGTATAAGAACATTTTAACGTCCATGAATTAAGACAATGCAGTGATTTTAATGGAATATCAATAACTAGCAAAGGGATACAGCCCATCAGTGTAAGATAGTATGAATGTATCCTACAACTTATAAATAACGGACATTAACTTTTACTTCCACAGTACATGGGCAATTGTTCATACATACACATATATACCTAAGTAAAATAAATATATCTTGCCTTACAAACTCTTCCAACCCGAGAAAGGATCGTCTTATCGGAAGTACTGCCTTCTTGAGATGATTCACGAAAGAAGAAATATATTTTATCATCATCTGGATTATAGGTGTCTGGTATGGGGAAAGTTCCAATAAATTTGGCTCCTGTTTGAAAGAAAAGAAGCTATAAATTAAAATAGTGAAACAATTTAGCCACAATACTACTGGCATCTTTTGCATGTAATCAGCAGAACTAAAAAAAATGAAACATGAGTGTAATGTGGGAAATGAGACATATACAAAAAATAAATATGTCACATGTAGAAACATGTATTTGCATGAAGAGGTCCTGAGCAAGTTCTCTAGGAACTCTGAAGAGCAAGTGAGAACATGACTGGCTGATATTCACAATTTATGCAACTCAACTAAATTACTTAGCCCTTTCAAACCTAAAGATTTTATGACTTATAGTCTTTTTCAATTATGGAGTCACTGCTTTTTAGCCACAATATCTATTATAGGAAGCTTAGGAAAATCTATAAGCATATCCTAAATTTTGTCATATTATGGAATTATTTGCTGTATTTTGTGTATTTGCCAAAGGGGGAAAAATGGGGAAAAAAAACCCACAAATACTTAGTGTGGGGGTCAACTCCAGTATAGGCTTTGGAGACATTGTCTCCAGGCTTATATCACGTCTCTGCCACTTATTGGAAAGGTTACCATAGGCAAATTCTTTATTTACTCCAGGCCTCAATTTTCTCAACCCTAATAAGAGGCTAATGATATCATCTACTTCCTTAGATAACTGGTATCACAAATTAATATGTGTAAAGCACTTAATATCTGACAGAGACAGACGCATAAAAGTTCAGTAATGTTTATTATTAAGATGATTGTGATGATAATCATTATTATTATGACCACAAAAAAGAAAATAATAAAAAACTGTGCACATCCGAACAATTGTTAGAATAATATGTAGTTGCTAATAATAAAATAGTTCTAAATGTGCAGTCATGGAAAGATGTCCATAATACAGAGTACATGAAAATAATATTGGCAATACTTTAAACCCTTTGTATTGTATCAATGACAAGTCAATCTGAGTTACTAATTCCTTGTTTATGAAAAAATGTTCAAAGTCACTAATCATCAGAGAGATACAAATTAAAACCACAATGAGGTACCATGTCACACCTGTCAGAATGGCTCCATCAACAAGTCAACAAACAACATGTGCTGGCGAGGGTGTGGAGAAAGGGGAACCCTAGTGCACTGCTGGTGGGAATGCAGACTGGTGTAGCCACTATGGAAAACAGTGTGGAGTTTCCTCAAAAAATGAAATATGGAGCTGCCATTTGACCCAGTGATCCCACTTCTAGGAATATATCCTAAGAAACCCGAAACACCAATCAGAAAGAACATAAAACTGAAACTCTACAGAAATTATAAGAATATTATTGGCTTGTTTTAAGTATGTGAGCTTATATGAAGATTAATGCAAGTGGAATTTATCATAGCACTTAAATATGATTTAAATAGATGTTATACATGTAGCATGATGACCTCTGCAACATTAGTATCCTATCAGAAATATTTTTAATGATTGAGCTGAATTTATAAATTTAAAAATAACATAGTGGTACAAAATTTGCATAATCTCTTTCCAGAGAGAAAACAGTCATCTGAATCATTAAAAAGAATTCCAGTGTGAGGTAGAGAGTTGCTTATAAAGTTTTTCTCGGTCACTCGGGTAATAAAAGTGGTTAAGTGGGCCAATTGTTTGCTGTTCACTTGTTTTTAGAGTTCAACAAGAGAAACAGAATTGTACAATAGAGCAGGATGTACACTGTCTAAAAGGGGAACAAATAAATAAAGTAATTCATATTCTCCATTGCAGAGATATGCAGAACAACCACTTTGGTTATGCGAAGCATTATCCAAATGTTGCCTGGTATTATCATTTAAAAGGGTCAAAAGTTAGAGTCTGACACCAGTCTACATTTCAGAAATTTCATTATGACTTAAATTGGGAATAACAAAGTAGATACTTTCCCAAGTTGTGTTTATTGTAACAGTCAACTAATACAAGATGGAGCAAAAATAGGTTTTTAATTGTTTGTATGAAAAATAATACAATAATTAATAAATAATAATACAAGAATAAACTTTGTGTTTCATGTACTGGCGATTGTAAACTTACTTTTGCTGTATATAACAGAGGTGATGTTGTGCTTATTCTGTGACTTTTGATTTTATTGGACTCTTTTATTTTTTTTTATTTTTAAAATATGTTTTATTGATTTGAGAGAGAAAGGGAGAGGGGGAGAGAGAGAAGCATCGATCAGCTGCCTCCTGCACGCCTGCTACTGAGGATGGAGCTTGAATCCCGAGGATGTGCCCTGACCAGGAATCGAACCAGTGACCTCTCCGTGCTTGGGACCACGCTCAACCAACTGAGCCACACCGGCCAGGGCTGAACTCTCTTTTTAATGTTGGTTTGTTTTCCAGTACTATAAGAAAATTGTTTGGGAGTACTGTAAGAAAATTGAATGGTGGAACTGTTTAAGCCAAATGCTTACTATATGAAGAAATCTAATTATGAAAAAAAAAAAAAGTATCAAACAGTACTAGATTCTGTGATTTAAACAATACACATATTTATTAGCTAAAAATAAATACATGTTTCAAGAATAGAAAGTTTCTTTCTTGCAGATTTAATTGAGGTCTTAGAACGCTGATGTTAGTATTTCATGATGGAAACTCTTTAACTTGCTGCCTAATTTGGGTAAAAAGAGGTATCGTGTAATCAGTGTATGACATGCATTGTTGCTGAATTAAATAATTTAAAATCATAGCAATAGACACCTGGGCTCTATTACAGCACATTTCCCCCCTTTGGCGTTTGAAGCACATGTCCTAATAGGGATGGAGTTTGTACTCATGCGTTTTCACAAATGAACTTTTAGCATGACACCAAGAGTCACTGCCAAATGAAAATGGCATAAATCCACATGGCCTGCAGGACACATCACTTTTATTTCTCCCTGTGAACCTCTTCTCACCCAGATGAGCTCACCTACACCATGGCAATACACAGTGACTTTCTTACTTTCCTTTACTTTTTCTTGTACTATCTTTTCCCTACTACTTTTAAAAAAATGTTATTATTATGTGTGGAAGGAGAATTTAGAGATAACAGAGCGCTCCAAAAGAAACCAAGTAAAAACTGCCTCCATATATTAAAAATGAAAAATGAGAACAAAAGTTCTCCTTTACTTCAGGTAAGGAAACAAAAATATATGCATCTGAGGGGTCATCATTTGTTTTCATTTTCCATACTTTAGTTTTATCCTAAAATTTTCACCAAAACTCCACTGTGTTTGAATAACCACTCTGACTTGTACTTATATTCCTATTTCCCGATATGTTCTAAGATTAAGTTGAGAGGGGAAAAAAGTGTGGAATCATCTAAGTCTTCATCTAGAACTCCCCATACTATTTCTATTTCACCTTTGTAATTTTTCATTCTCCTGTTAGGTATTTAATAGATGGGTTAGTTTCTCAAAGAAAGGATCAGGATTCTTACTAAGTCTTTTGGAACTGGATTAGACACAGTCTAAAGAAGTTCTGACAAGGATCCTTGGACTAGTAAGTGTAGAGGTTAACTGATCTCACTATGGCTAATTTTATGCAGAGCAAAGAACAAAATATTGCATGCACAAACATCAAGGATTTTAAACTCCCATAGTGGTTCAGTGATAAAAACGGACTTATAAAAGATTCCTGTACTGTCATATTTTTAAAAAGGTTAATTACTTAAAATCTGCATTAGTACTCAATTGTAAATTTAAATTTTTTATTTCATTTCAACTTAAGACAATATCAATTTATCTTTACAAGAGTTTAGTTCATCTCAGACATGTAAAGAGTAGGATTTTAAATTGAAAATGGAAGTACAAAAAGCAAAATTTAACAGAAAAAAAAAACTCAAACTGTCTAACTGGAAATAAATAATACAATAATGTAATATATAAGAAGAAAGAAATGAGGTATTGACCTTATTGTTTGAAATATCAAATATTTGTCAGTTCTTTCAACCTGGCAACAATTTTACGAAACCCAGGGGTGAGTTTCACATCTATATGCTCAATGAATAGTAAAGAAAATTAGCACAGGTGTCGCATTATGCTATTGTGGGCTCTTGTACGTAATTAATAAACAGATACACTTTATACCACTGCTGTTCAATAGAAATGTCCATGATGATGGAAATATCTTTTATCTGTGCCAGCCAACATGGTAGCTCTTAGCCCACATAGTTATTGAGCACTTTATATATGACTAGTGTGACTAAGAAACTGAATTTTAAATTTCACATGTGGCTGGTGTCTACCATATTGGATAGTGCACCTATAGAGTAAGTAGTCTGTGTCATTCACTCTGCTGTGTTAGGTACAGTGCTAAGAAAGACATGGAGCTTTATCCCCATAACTGCCAGTCAAGCTTCTAAAGTGAGGAGACATGATATGCTGTTCTGTCCAGAATTTGGTATTGTAAAGGAAGGGTGAGCCTGGCAGTTAGGAGACCTGGACATATCCCTTCTTCATACTAAGTTTCAATCTGTGGAATATGAGGTTGAGTAAGATACTGTCTGAGACGACACTCATTTCCAATACTCAACACAATTCCTCTAACAATCACTGTGTTTTGTACCTTACACTCCTGATGCTAGCCAGATGACCCCACTGGCCTGTCTTTGGACCTGAGGCTGACTATATCTGAAAAGTGGCCACTTCTCAGAAGGGGGGATAGAAATTCTCCCTAAGCAAGCCCATCTTTTTTGCCTTGGCATGTAAGGTGCTTCCTCATCATAAGAATCATATAGTTTCTGTAATTTCTCCTTTGCTCTGTTCCAGTTTTCATGGCCTGAGAAACTGTGGACTGACTGGGTCTTCTGAAGCACTGTGCTCTTCTAATTCTGGTCTGCTTGTCCCTCAGCAAACCTCTGACCTGATGTTCACACTCACTGACTCCGGCTAGACTGGAAATTATTTTTGAAAAAAACAATAAAGCTGTATAGCTTGTTTGGCTTAGTGGTTAGAGCATCATTGGCCTGTGGACTGAACGGTCCCAGGTTCGATTCCAGCCAAGGGCATGTACCTCAGTTGCAGGCTGGATCCCCAGCCCATCAGGGCAAGTGCGGGAGGCGATGAGTCTCTCTCACATCGATGTCTCTTTCTCTCTCTCCCTTCCTCTCTCTGTGAAAAGCAACGGAAAAAACACCCTTGGGTGTGGATTAAAAATAAACAAACAAACAAACAAACCAATAAAATAATGGCAATAAACCCGGGATAAAGTGATGGAGACCTATAGGAAGATGATGGCCACGGAAAGAACAAGGTCAATAGATATTTTGAAGGAAGTAAAGGCCTTAGAGAAAGATTAGATAAAGGGGGTGAAGGAGAGGAAGGAAGCAAAGATAATTTCAAGGTAACTGGGTAGATGAAGTTAAGCAAGTTAAAACAAATAAAATTCAGGGAACTGGTATTAAAGGAAAGGTTACAAAGGGAAAATAAGATAATTTTAAAGTTAGACTAATAAAATTTTAGATTTTAGACATAATTAGTCTTTTATATACCTATCTCCACATCTAAATCCACCTATGTATGTATATATTTGAGGAAATTCAAACAAAGGATCACTACACAGCTTGTAAAAATCTCAGAGCACTCTAGTAGCATAATCAAGGCTAAGGCTTAGATATCTTTATTCTCATATTAAACAACCAGTTTCTCCTAACCTGAGATGAAAATATAAGATATCTAAATAAATATTTTAAGGCTACTTAGCTCCAAGAAAAGGCTGGAAATACAGTTTTAGGAAACACTAGAACGCAGGAAATAGATGAAACTATTAGAATGGATGAGTTCACAGAATTATAAAATGTAGAGAGAGAGAAAGGTGGTCAGTGTCAAAAATGCTAAATAGATGTCAGAGAATCAGAGCATTCATGGTTTTAGTCCCACCCTTTACTGCTCTTACTTTCAGGAATAATGATAATGATGATAATGAATTGCTCTTAAAACTGTCTTCAATCAGACCTCTATATTTGATTTAATTTAATCTCTACAACACCCTGTAATATTTTTATTATTCCAAATTTTCAGACAAAGAATTTGGAGGCACAGAAATACTTGACCAAGGTCACAAATAAGTGATGGTAGGTATTTAAACCTGGGCAATTAAATTACACAGAAACAGAGCTATAATTTTTGTCTAAACTGGGAAACACTTGAGAGTTAAAGAACAAGAGAGACAAACTGGAAATGTCTAGGCAAACATGGTAATATGGTAACCCTGTTATTAACCACTAAACAATCTGCCACGAATGTTCTAGAACCATAAATGTTCTCTTACTTTTTAATCATTTGCTTGCATTCAATCCATTGAAACTTTCTGCTGTGTATACTTTCTCTTACCTCCAATTTCTTCCTTTCTGATTAATTGCAATTTTTTTCCCAATATCCAAAATCTTCTTTTGAAATCTTCCTCAGATTCTTCTATTCCCAAACAAAGATCCTCTATTTTGAATATTCATTCCTGTATAGTCTCCTGTCCACCTCCACTGCCACTTCCTTTGTTCCTGCCCCTCCTCAACTTTCTCTTTTCTTCTCTCTCTGTCTTCATTCCCCTTTAGTTTCCCCTCATGCCATTGTCAGTCACCGTCATCAAAAACAAAGATCTGATTCTCTAATTAGCATCAGGGAATGGGGAAGGGGGTCAAAAGGAACAAACTTCTAGTTATAAACTAAATGAACTATGGGGGTGTAATATACAGCATGGTGACTATAGTTAATAATACTGTACTGCATATCTGAAAGTTGCTAAGAGAGTAAATCTTAAACGTTCCCGTGAAAAGAAAAATTTGTTTAACTATGTCTGGTGACAGATGTTGCTACACTTACTGTGGTGATCAATTTTCAATATATACAAATATAGAATCATTAGGTTGCACACCTGCAACTAATATAATGTTATATGTCAACTATACCTCAAAAAAATAAATTAAACCATAAATAACTTCTCATTGGTTTCAGGATAATATTTACAGCTTTTTAGTTCCATCTCCCACTCTCTTCCTATGCTTCAGGCTTTCGTCATCCATGAGGTCAACAACCCTCCTGTATAATCTTTTCAGGCCCACTGTGTACAACAGCAGTCACTATGCCATAGGCCCTCAAATGTTTATTAAGGGAATGTTCAACCAACTCAAAGGCTTCTTACTTTGTCATTTTCTTTACATAATCCTAAGAACAGCATGCTAGGAAAATAATAGTCGAACAAATATTTCCTACATTTATTGTTCTAGCAGCATTCAGGCTTCTTTATGGACATGTCACAGTTAAGGAAAGGAGTGGAATAATCTTTTAAATGGCAATATAATGACATTTGCCATCCCAAGACTGGAAAATACAATCTATATTTCATTTTAAAGTCGTAAGTGTATCTTGGTACCTAAGCAGATAACTAAGCTCTTCTGGTGGTGAAATCTACGGGGTCCCTCTCAAATCAAGTATTTCCACAAAACCTCACAATGCTCAGGAAGATTTGTGTTATCTATTAATAGGGTTATCTTTTGGTCAAGGAAAATGACATTGTTGTGTAAACAAACAGATCTGGAAGTTCTGACAAAAGAAATGCTTTTCCCTTTTGTTTATGTTGTCATTCCTTAAGTGATATGGAGAGATAGAGAGACAGTCCCTAAGAAGTCTCTACCCCTGCCACCTCCACTAAAGCCCAGTATTTATGGTGGGAATGAGAAATGCTGTCAGCCTGCTGACATAGCAATGTTATGTGATTCTGCCATGCAGTGGAATAAAGTTCTATGTTAAATGAAAAACATTAGAAAACTCATAAAACCTGACTTGCAAGACAGTGGAGGAAAACAAATCCTTGCATTATTCCTTGAATTAAATAAATACATTTAGGTTTTGTTTTGGGTTTTTTTAAGGGATTTGTTTGTTTTATTGAAAACTTGCTATATGAGTCCTAAACAAAAAAGTAATCAAACTAATGTCAATATTAATATGCTTAAAAATTTGGAGGGAGATGTCTTAATCAAAACATAAATTATCTTCTTTGTTTCTTTCAATCCTCACCCAAGGGTATTTTTTCCATTGTTTTTCAGAGAGAGAGAGAGAAAAACATCAGTGTGAGAGAGGCACATTGATTCGCTGCCTCCTGCATGTGCCCGAACCAGGGCAGGGAATGGAGCTGCAACCGAGGTACATGTCCTTGGCCAGGACCCCTTCAGTCCGAGTACTGATGCTCTAACCACTGATCCAAAACAGCTAGGGCATAAATTATCTTTAAACAAAGAAGTTAGCATTATAATCTAACCCCTTCCCATTATGGTCATAGACAGAATTTGGCTCAGTCTTTAAAAGACAGACTGCAGGTGAAAGACTTGTAGCCCATCTCTGCAACTAACAAGTTCTAAGACCTTGACCAAATTACTCAACTTCTCTCTACCTCAGTTTACACATCTTTAAAAAGTGTGTAATAATTATATGCCTCATAGGTCATTTATGAATATTCAAAAATCAATTAGAGCATAGAAATGTCAAGGACAATAGCACACGCTCAATAAATGTCAGCTACTATTATTATATACACAATATGTCCAACTTATCGAGAAATTATTTCAAACGTTTTTTATAATGTTGAGCTACATCGCTTATCCCAAAACACATCTGAATGAATAATAATGACTTTCTTATCTTCCCCAAAGCAAGGCAAAACAATCAAAAGTGAGAAAATCACTAACCATTGAGCCAGTAGTGCTCTGAAATGTCAGTTCTGATGTAATGGTGGTCTTGAATAGGCCCGAGGGACCGCGTGAATGCGGTATCTTTGCCAAGGAAATCAGAAGCTGTTCCAGAGTAGAGGTACTCATCTGGGTAGGAAAAAGAATACACAGGACTTCTAAGAGTTTACCAGCAGTGCTATTTACAATATACTAATTTCACAGCATGAAACCGAAGAGGTTTATTGCTTAACATCAGAATATATTGATGTTATAATTCATAAATTTCACATTCAGATTTTGAGAAATTTGCTTAACGAAAAGATAACTCAATAAACTTTGGTAAGCTGATGCTAGATACTTGAATATGAAAAAGGTCAAAGTCTTCTGAATTAAGAACTGCACGCGTACTGGCTGCTCTTATGAATTAGCTCTTCTTTCCCTTCTCCTCACAAATAATTCAACGATATATCATAATTAGGAGTTCCTCGCCGTAGCAAAACAAAGAAATATTAAAAAGTAAATGCCATAATGAGGAATGGATTGTGTAATTAGTATTTACTTAACCGACACAACCTCAATGACCACAACTTTTCTTTGCCTAATCTCTGCTGAAAGGGAGCTTTCAGCACTGAAGTCATTCTTTGTAATTATAACATTTTGCATTCCTTGCAGCTAGTCACGTCTCTAATAGTTCTGATAAACAGGAATTCCTGAAAGGGGAAAGAAGGGAATGATGTTGCTATTACTGCATACCAAACTTCTTTGTCCTGTTATTTATGTAAAGTGCATATCCATGTTTTATGAGAGAGAGAAAGAGAGAGAGAGAAAGAGAGAGAGAGAGAAAGAGAGAGAGAGAGAGAGAGAGAGAGAGAGGAAGGGGAAGAGGGGGAGAAAGAGAAATGAAGCTAGAAAGGAAGAAAGGCTGAGAGGGGAAAGGTGGGTAGGAAGATAAAGGAGGGAGAAAGAAAGGAGCCAGGAGGAGAGAAGATGACATGAAAGGAAGGAGAGAGAAGGGGAGAGGGGGGAAAGCAGAGAAAACCATTGGTGGGGGAAAGAGGAGAGGGAGGGTAAGGTTCCTCAGTGACTGTTAGGGTAGTGGAAGGTGGCCTGAAAAGAATGTTATCCCTATAGTAGAATATGTTGTCCTCTTGAGAACTAAGGTTCTAATTCAAGAAATCTTCATAGCCAACTACTTTGGGTTACCCTTAAGAGGCCCAAATAAAAATGGCTAATCTCTACAGAATATTTAGATTTTTTAAATGCCTAAATAAAAGGACAACTAAAGACATTGTTTTGTTACTGAAATCTAATTTTCTTCAGAAACGTATCTTTGGGTTTTTTGGAGGGGTTAAGTATAAGTGATTTAGATACTTTCCATGTAAATTTTTATTGAACTAATTGAGACAACCAACCTAAATAATGGCAATAGTCAACTTCCCAGGGAAAAAACAAACAAAAAAACACGGAAGAGAAATAGTCAGTTATGTAAATATGTACCATTTGTAGATCTGGTACTGCTTCCATCTCTTAAAACATTCCCCTAAAATATATAGTAAATGGCAATATTTCATTGTGGATCAAATTTTTTAAAATAGAGATACAAAAAAAAGCAACCCATCAACAAAGACATTATGAACAAAGGTAAGAGTAAAAAAGACAAATGATTAGTTTGCAACAAAATTGCAAAAATTTGAACATCTTGTCAGAAAAAAATTGTATGTTTCAACTCCAAAACTGACTCTGTAGATCCAGGCTTTAAAACTGTCTTCTCTGTATTTAAATTACTTAGAGATTCCTAAGAGGGGTCACCAATGCCTACCATCTATTGTTTTTTTATTAAGGGTGTGTTAACCCTTCTTGACAGATTAGAATCACAAATCATCTATCTCATTTTTTTTAGGATAATGACTGAACATTAGTCACGATTTTCAAAACACACAAAAACACAAGCTTTCACTTCAAAGGAAGATCACTAGTTCTCACTAAGTGAAAATTAAAATGTCATGGTGCTTCACTCTCATAGACTATTCAAGCATTTGATAGACAAGTTAAATAAAAAGAGAATAAAGTCACGAACCAAACCAACACAAAAAGAGCTCTTATAATGGCTGAAATGGCCGACATTCCTCAGAGCAGACTTCAGACCACACAGTACTGCCTTCTTTAAACAGAACAGTCATCTTATAAGAAAATTTAAGATGTATACAAAGCAGAAGACTGAATGTGCTAGTAAAAAGTAATGAAAATGTGAAATTTTTACTAGCATGTGAAATCAGAAGAAAAGGCGTTATAACATTCTGTACTCTACAGTTTGATTCATTTGTTTTATTCATTTATCCACCAATTTCTTATTATTAATACTTCATTTATATCTTAAAATTTGTAACATACTATATTTAAGGAATTGCTAAATTTATAGGGATATAGCTTAGTATAAGAAAATCTGAGACATTTAAATGTAAAATTTTAGAACAAGTGAATGTGTGTCCTTTGCATTAAAAAGAATTCAACCAGAAGTTCATATAAAATGTAACTGTGCAGACAGTAAGGACGGCCAAGACCTCACTTTATTGATGAGGATGGTAAGTGTAGAGAGGTTTGGCACTAAAACACTATAAACCAATAGCCAGTGGAAGATTCCAAAATAATATTTAACTCAATATGAAAATGTAGGTTAATCTACACATACCTTTTTAGAAAAACACTTAAAGCAAGAGCTGCCTGTCATTCATCTTACCTGTCATTACTGAAGCAAAAGGCTGTTGAGGATCAAAAGGACACTTCAGTCTGCCCGACTCCAAATTGTGTGTGTCTAGTTTGAACATAACTTCCTGTTATGAGAAATATTAACACAAGTAAGATTTCTTAAAATACCAGAATCAGCAAGAACATAGGAGGTAAGAACTCAACTCTAACTCATTAATTCATCAATAACTGGTTGCGCATATAGCATGTGCATCATGCTGAGCTCCTTAACTCTTTAGCAAATATTATTTTTGGCAAGACTCAATCTCCATGTTTTGGTCTCACTTCCCAAAAGTAATAATAATAATACTGAATGGATTTTTCAGTCAGAAGTACTAATATACTCATAAATTCATTTAGTCTGGACCACTATCATTATCAATATCACCATCAAACACACATATTTCTTAAGCTTAATAACTAATTTACTGAGCCTAACAAGCCAATTTCCCCATCTAAGAGATAAATTTACTATTATAATTATACTTTCATAGCTATTATGATCTATTTACCTAAGCATCTGCAACTATTCCAAATTACTTAAGCCTTGTTGTATTTTGTAATTTTAGTGACATAAAATGCTCTAAGGTAGGAAGTTCATTTTCATAGCTGCCTGATGCATGCGGGCAAAAAATATCCTGTTACAGTATTTTCACTATTATGAAAACACTGTACACATTAAAAGCCACATAGTTATTTTGGCTGAAACATTTATTTGTACAATAGTGGCCACAGACAGAATGATATTGGCATGCTTTTAATATTCAGGAAAAAACAACATCTTAAAGTTGAACTTTCCAAGAAAAATATGAATGTATAATGAATATGGTCCCACGAGCTTGAGTGTTTCAAAACAATGACAACACTACCATCCAGCAAAAAGGCTGATGACTCACCCTGCCTAAGCACTAGAGAAATTCAGCATTTCAGACATTCTGTCTAGATGGTGTATCTACAAAGTTCTATCAGAGCACACATACATGTCATAAGAAAGGACCATTCCACGTTACTTACCTAGAAAGCAAGCAATGAAACAAAAGGGATAGAGGAATTGGATTATTTATTGTATTATGTGCCATGTCAGATCTATTTCTTATGAACTGGACCAACAATAGCTATAGCCTTTTAAAAAATAGTAATAGTGATTTAAATAGCATGATTAAAAATTGTTGTTCCATAGTTCCAAGTAAATGCACTTTAACACTAACAGGAACCATGGGCCAGAAACTTTATGTACCTTGTCTCACTGAATCCACACCATAAGCCTAACAATGAAGCTGCTTTAAGAATTCCAGCTTTACAAGAAAAATATTGAGGATAGAAGGGTGAAGCACCTTGTTCAGCATCATATAGCTAGTAAGACGCAAAGCAGTAGCTTGAACTAGAGGCTGTCTTCAAAGTTCATGCTTTAATCTACCTCAGAGTTCAAACTCATGCACTTAAAGTGTGTGGAAATCAATTTATCGTAGCCTCACAGTGATCATGTAACATCATCAAGCCCAAGTATATTTTATTAGAACAGGTTAGCTAATGACAAGTTATGAGAGTGGAGAGTAGGCAGGAAAAAAAGTCTGGTGAGAAGATATTCAGGGCCTGCTTTCCAGCTGTGGATGGGGCAGAGATATGTCAGGGGGAAAAACAACAACAACAAAACACTTGTAGACAGTGGCTCTTTATGTTTAAATATCATTAAGGGAACTTTATTCTTTACAGATCAAACAGAATGGTTGACTCTAACGCCTATAATGGAATATTGTAAAGGGAAAAAGTGAGCTGAATTCTGGTATGCCAGAGATTAGAGTGAAAAGCTGAAAAAGAAAACCAAGAAAATATCTGAGAGAATGTCACAGTTGATGCAGAGTACTAAAAATACTCCCTTCTACTTATACAGACTTCTGTTTTCAAAATGCAACATTTCATTAAATTCTCAAGATAAGCCTGTAAAATGGGTATTTGTAGAGGTTGAGGACAAGGTCTCCCTTATAATCTCTTGGAGAAAGGAGGCAGTAGGAAAGCAGGTTTCCCTGAGTCTGAGTCAAGGACACCAACTGGAAAATTATGTAAAAAATAATGGCTGATTAAATGGGCTTCCTCAGATAAACTGACTGAATTACATGGCACTCCAACTTTTGAGACTTCAACTTTGTAAGATTTCCCCCCCATTTAATTACTTTATTCTAATTAATTATGCAAAAAGCATCTTAAGCTGCACACAGAAATACTGTTGAAATAAAGCAAGAAGAGTGATAGGAAACATTTAATCATCACAACTAGGCAAAATCATTATTAATACCATTCCCATTTAAAGATGAGATTTTCAGCAGCAGAGGGGAGAAAGCACATACTTCCAATCTAATTATTTAATGGCTATCAGGCACTCCAAGCTTTGCAGAGTATATGTATGTATATGCATATGTATATGTGTATGTATATGTATATGTATATGATGTATATGTATATGTATAGCAAATGTTAATTTTGCATAAAATTTATATAATCCTTTTGAAATCCTTGCCTTCCTGTGTTCCTGTGGCCTACTATGGCTGAGTATTAAGTGGCTGGAATGTCAAAGCCTATACTATAATTTTCTCATTTTATCCTCAAAATTACTCTGTGAGGTAGTTAGTATTACTATCATCATTTTGTTGAATAAACAGAAGCTTGGAAAGCTTATGCAGTGTACATAAGACGATGGAGCTGGTAAATGACTGGAGCCATAATTCAAGCTCTGGCTCCTCGAGCTCCCATGATTAGTTGTTGACAGCAGCCCTGACTTCTGTCCTGAAATCCAGGTCCAACTTCCCACAGGCATGACCTATTGAACATTTCTCAAATGCAGAATGTACAAAATGAATTCACTCTTCTCCCCACAAACTTGTGACTATTCTCACCTCAGTAAATAACATCACTCTCCAACTCACTGCCAAAGACAGAAATCTGGGATTCATTTCAGCCTTTTAATTCTCCTTCCCATTGCCCCAGCTGCACTGAACAGGAGTCCCCAGAAAGGGGATTATCCATACTTCTCTCCTCCACCCCTTTTATATATTAGTTCCCTCTTCTCAATCATCTCCTGAGAAACCTTATTTATTCTATTTTGAAAATGGAGAGCCTTCTAAATTTTCTCTGGAAGAACAATGAGTTCCTGGGACTAATAATTCATTTACAAAGTTAACAATCTTCAAGCAGGGCTGACTACAATTACCTGTACTCCGGGCCAGCAGCAAACTCACAAGGCTCAATACCCCTGTCCCCTCATAATTCTCTTACTCTCACAGAACTTGTAAATTTCACTGTCCTTGGGTTTCTTGACAGTCCCAAGCTAAGTAATTAGCTCCATCTAAATTCCTTTTCAGCACTTGTGACTTTTAGGAGCTCAAGAACACTCTTTGCATCCCTCAGCAGGCTGTGAGTTTGGCCTTTAGCCTCAGGCTTCAAAACACATCCAAGCAGTGGGGCTATCTCATATAATTACACCCTGTGCTGTGAACTATTATTATATATTATCCTTCATCAAAGCCAGGCGAGAGAACATTACACAAACAACAAAGAATGATGAATTCAAGTTGCCAAGTCTCCTAGTGGCTCAGAGATTTAACTATCAGGGTTGCTTTATTTTCAAACAGTTGAGACTGGCTGGTTAGACAAGTTGGTAAATTTATCAACCAACTTCGAGCGAGGAAAATTTATCCAGCCACGGTTGTGGGTTTGATTTCTGCATGAATCAGTTAAATCAATGTAAAGAAACCTGTTCCATAAACTCAGACTTTAAGTTTAAGCATGTAGCCAATAATCCTACAAATATGTGTGGTTGCTCACAATAAGCATATACATAAACATAGGATGACAGTGCAACCCATACAAAGATACACTTTAGAGTACATGTTCTAAAGCTCATGCTTGCTCTAGAGACAGGCTGCTTCGGTTCTGTTCCTTACTAAATCATTTTTCAGTTGGGTGATCTTGAACATGTTACTTAAATCCATTGTAATTTTAGTAACTTGTAAATTGGGAATAATAAAGATACTAACTTCATTGAGAGTGTTGTGAAATTTCAAAGAAACAATCCATGTAAAGTGTGTGGTACTATCCCATGACACAAGAAAGCACTCTAATATGTTAGTTATTAATTAAATTTCTGAAATCTGCATGTTTCTCATTTATTGAAATGCTCATAGGTAGCTGCAATGCATTATTCCAAATTAACACATATTTTATTCCCACTATATCAATTTGGTCCAGCAGAAATAATAGGTCCAGTGTGCTAATATGACTATATACAGTTATTAGAAAATCATTAAATTTTCTGTACTTAGTGTCCACCATTGTAAACATAACAGGTCAAATTGTTTGGATGGGGAAAATGAAATTTCTTATAAGATACAATTCCATTGCAAGGTCTTTGGGGAAATGGATTTTTACCAACAGCAACATACAATACAGATCTAGCTGTAAAGGAACCTTAAGAGAAAATGAAGACATACAAAGAGCCCATAGAAAACAAGCACTTTCAATATTTTGCACTATTAATTTTTATCATCTCACTAAAAAAACTTTTAATAGAAAAACTTTTATTAGGTAGATAAAGTGTATAATCAAAATGGCAATCCATAAAGTGGTTGGGAACATGGGTTCTTATATAGGACATAAACTATGACTCCATCTTTAGTAGTCAGGTAGTACAAAAAATTGTTTTCAAACAATTTCATTATATTACCTCTTTGTAGACTCCAAGATCAATATATCCACATATTGGATGAAATGCTCCAGTTCCACACACATAAATGTGAGTTTTGTTATAGGGTTGAAGTACTCGAATGAAATTTGCACATTCTGTCTATTGGGCATAAAAAACACACAAAAGCATTAGCACACAATTCAAGTTTTTGGAAGATTATCATTCATGCCACCTGGTTTTCAAGTAGATAAAGCATTAAAAATAAGGGAAAAAATGAAAAAGACTTGTGAGAAATGTTTAAACACCCGACTTCACAAAGGAGGTAAAACAAATTAGGAACTGGCTTAAATGAGTGACTTTGAAGCTTTTTGAAGTTTTAAAGGTTCTGCACTAATCAGAGTGCGAGAATGCACATCTCTAGAGTGGTACTCAATGCAGTCTAGAGAATGAATATACATAGAATATTAATGAGGTATCCATACTTTCAAAAATTACCTAGAGAACAAAACCCATAATGTCCTGATGTTCACATATTGTCCCGCATATAGATTCTACTGTTTGCAACATCAACTGTCTCAGTGACACTGAAGAAACAAAGAATACAGGTAGGTATTCCTATATGTGTGTTCTATTCTAATTGGCTGGAAAGCCTTACCATTTTATTTCCATTTATTTTCAATATTACAGAGTCTTTAAGACTCAGACTAATTCTTGTTTATTCCAAGAATGTCTTCTATTTTCCATGGATTTTTTTAAATAAAAAAGTCCAATTTTTTAAGAGATTTTTACAATTCTAATTGTCTTGCATATGCTTAGGCCTAAAAATATTTCTTCGCTACCTCATTATCTTTATAACAATTATTTATAGTGACTCTCAATTTTTCATAGTCGTTTTTGTTATTATATATTATTTTCAATTTACCTCCCATAAGTGACTTCTTATCATTACAAAATTATTGGAAACAGTTTCTTAACCCTGGCTTCATGATTCTTGGACCCAAAGACTCCTGAGAAAATACTGGGCTGTAGCCTACTTTTATTCTAGATGGACTCTACCCAGTTGCTTAAGACTATATGAAAAAACAGTATTAGTCCCTCAGCTACACAAGTAAAGGATGTTTCTTTATCAGGTAAGAATTAGCCTCTCTAACTGGAGCAGGATCACTGAATGTGGCTGCTTAGATTGTACACTGAAGAAAAAAAAGTCATATCTAAGGATGTACAAATCACACTACGGACATGACATATTTATTGTATTGAATATTTTCATGTGTTTAGTTTATGTTCTCATAATTATTATATGTAGTCTCCTAAAAAGGAACATTTTATATTCATTAAGAGAATTTTCTGGCAGATAGTCTTGCTTAACAGTATCATATTGCGCCCGATTTTCACCTTCACGCCAAGGTGTTTGAATAGAACTTATTTTCTATTTGCAGAAAGGCACCGTACGAAATTAGCTTCATGTTTCTTAACATGTTAGGCAATCTCAAGTAAAAACCTAACTCAGAGAGTAAATATGCCACACTAATAGTTTTGAACAAATAATGGGAACACAGTAATATGAAAATGTCAAGGCCAAAAGTGTAAAACTGTATTCAGTCACAAGATAAACTGTAATGATAGCTTCATTGCTAAGGTAAAAGGTTCTAATGTTCCTTTTATTTCATTCACTCGTGCACACTGAAGGACTTTTATCTCTTGGTCTTTCCCGCCATGAAGAGATTTATGCAAGGGTGAGATCTACACAAAGAATAGTACACAGGGAGGGTAAGAGTAGAATTATATGGCTTGAGGGAGGTGGAATTGATTCACTGCCAGTTATCTCATCATTTTTTCAAAAGCCCAGTTTACCAAACTGTCCTGTAATTGAAGGGTAATTGTTATGGACTGAATATCTGTGTCCTTCCAAAATTCATAGGTTGAAACTCTATCTCCCTAGTGTGATGGTACTAGGAGAGGGGGAACTTGGAAGGTACTCAGTTTAAAAAGAGGCCATAAGAGTAGGATCTTCATTGATGGGATTAAGGAGAGATTGGGGGGCTTGCTTTCTCACTCTCTGCCATGTGAAGATATGACAGGAAGATGGCCATCTGCAAGCCAAGAAGAGAATTTTCACCGGGAGCCAAATCAGCCAGGAACCTTCATCTTGGCCTTCTCAGCCTCCAGAACTGTGAGAAATAAACATCTGTTGTTTAAGGCACCCAGTTTACAATATTTTGTTAGAGTAGCCCAAGATGAAAAAGACATTAATTCTACAAGGTTCTGAACTAAATATTTGTATAAAGAAATAAAACAATTCCCTTTCTAGATTATAAATTATGGAGACAGAGAGATTAAGGACTCTGAGAAACACAGCACTGTTTAAAAAGGCAAATAAGGCCCAGAGGACAGTTTTATACAGGTAAGAGATATAATTCTAGCCCTGGCCAGTGTGGCTCAGTTGGTTGGGCATCGTCCTGTGCACCAGGAGGTTGCCAGTTAGATTCCAGGTAAAGGGCACATGACCCCGGTAGGGGGCATACAGGGGGCAGCTTATTGATGTGCTCTCATTTCAGATGTTTCTTTCTCTCTCCCTCTCTCCCTTCCTCTCTTTCTAAATATCAGTAAACTATTCTTTACAAAAGGATATAATTTTAATGGTTATAAAGAAAAACTCTGAATCACACCAAAAACAGTTCACATCCTTTAACTTTTTAAAAAATCTTTTTTTAAATGTTTTTATGAGAGAGGGAGAGATGGGGGGAGAGATGGGGAAAGGGGGAAAGAGAGAGAGAGAGAGAGAAACATCCATGTGAGAGAGAAACATAGATCAGTTGGATCCCCAACACACCCTGAATGGGGAAGGAACCCGAAGCCTGGGTATGTGCCCTGACCTCGCTATCCAACCGGCAACCTTTTGGACTATACCTAACCAACTAAGCCACACAGGCCAGGGCATATCCTTGAACTTTTTGGGGGTACTTTGTTTCTGACTTGGTAAAATATTACCAAGGTTTTGTTTATGAAATCCCTCCCTTCTCTCAGATTGGGCTGATGCGGAATAGAACAATGTATGGATGAGTCCTGAATTACAGGACCTAGTTTACAAAAAAGTCAGCTCTGCTCAAACTTTTCTGTACTGAAACTGATAGAGGTTGATTCTCTACGCAGCCTGGAGGCAATGAAAAGGCACAGGCTGCCAGAAGGAAAGAAACCTGGGACACAGAGATCCTAAAAGATAAGGTCTTGTAATTCAAAATTGCCTGGAGTGGACATTTCAGACAAACCAGTGATGTGAGGCAAAAACTTTACAATGATTTCCCCTTTAATTTGTAACTTATTTTTTTGGGTCTCAATGATTGTGTTGTTTTCTTTTTATGCACAAAGTTTCCAAGTTTTGTTTAAATAGTATGAGCAATAATTAACTTGATTTAATTCACTTAGTGACTGGCATGGCTATTAATGGTAACATAATTCTGTGAGGCATGAAGAAAGATAACTTTGAGAAGCAGCTTTTTCAGCTTTCCCTGAAAGCTGACTAATTTGTCAGCTATGGCCCACAATGGCAAGGGTTGTTGCCTGTGACCAAACAGTTCAATTCAGTGAGTAACATGCTTGTCTTTGGAAAAGTATTGAATTTCTCCTTCCTTCCCTATTCCTCCCACCTATTCCCCTTACCAGCTACCCACCCCCCCCCAGTTGGAAGAGAGATGGAGAGAAAGAGAAAACAAGTTATCAACCTTTTAAAATTCTCTCAAGTAATGTTTGTTTCAATATTTTACTTCTCGCATACATCCATACATGTTTATGTAACTAACTAAATAAAGCCAATTTAAAACTGAGTTAGCAGTTGGAGAAAAGACAAATATGTTTTAGTCTATGTAGTAACACTTGGAATTTTAGTCTCTGCCTAGATACCTGGAAAAATATTAGCAAAAGAGAAGTACATGTAATTCTCTAGACTTAGATATGGTCCAATTAAATCCAATACAACTTTATATGTATTTCTGATAATTGATTTATAAATTGTTAATTTTTATTTATTTGGGTTATATAGGGAAAGGCAATCATGATTTAAGAATTTGGTCTGTTTCTATTTTTAGTGTATTTTTCAGAACCTTGTGATCATGAATTTTTTTTTTTTTTTTTTAGTGTTTTTATTGATTTCAGAAAGAGGAAGGGAGAGGGAGACAGAGATAAAAACATCAAGGATGAGAGTCATTGATCAGCTGCCTCCTGCAAGGCCCCTGCTGGGGATGGAGCCTGCAACCCAGGCATGTGGCCTGACTGGGAATCGAACCGCCATCTCCTGGATGTTCAACCTGGTCGATGTTCAACCACTGAGCCACGCCGGCCAGGAATCATGAAACATTTTTGACATTCATCACATGCCTGTCATTGTGTCTTATGTTACATTTGTCTAGCAGACCTCAGGTAGAATCCAGTCTCCAGAGATATCTGTTTAGGTCTTATAGTTTTGAAAATATTTTAACACTTCAAAATAAATACACGAAAACGCAAATATCACATTTTTCTCTTAAAAAAGGAAGCTCTAACAATGGAGATTTCTACGGAGCTAAACTCAGCTGTGGTAGAAGGGCAAAGGTAAACATCCTAAAGAAAAAAAATTGAGATATGCTTACTTAAATATTTAAAAGTTTATATCAACTAAGACAACTTGGAAAGAATATTTTTTACATGAGTGGGTCACAAAGTAATAATATACTCTGTATTTTAAATATAGTTGTATATCTGCAAATCTTGAAAATCTGTAAATAATCAGTAAGGAAAAGGAACACACTAAAATTTAAAAATGAACAAATTGTAGGGATATGCTATTCCAAAAAATAAATTCTAATTTTAGAAGTACATAAAATATTTAGCTTTAATAGTAATGAAAAATTTCAAGGTGAAACAACAAAATAACTTTACTTTTGTTGGCAAACATTTAATATACTTATTTTATTCACTTATGTTTCAGTGTTAAATATTAACTATGTGCCGTACCCAATATTGGCAAGGATATGGGAAATAGACTCTCTCATGAGCATCACCGCTGGTTAAAGCGTAAGAGGCAGAAACTTTCCAGAGGGTCATTTTGCAACGTGCATAAAAAATTTTATATCCTTTGACCAGTAATTCTAGTCAATAGTCAAAGATGTTCACAATATTTTTATATGAGGTTTTTCATGTGCAGCATCATTTACAATAATTAAAATTGGATTTATACCAAACTTCTAACAATAGGGGACTGATGAAATAGTATATAGAGGAATGCAGTACAGCTTTTAAAAGTAGTGTTATAAAAAGGAATTTAATGGCATGGGAAAATGTTCATGGCAATCTGTGAAGTGGAAAAAAAGTGTTTTAAGGGCTACGTATACAATGATTTCAGTCTGAAAAATAGTAAATAGATAAGATAGAAGAATAAACATCCTAATGTCAGCAGCTATCTCTGGGTAATGTTCATGGGGGAGGAAATATTTACAGATGATTTCTATATAATTTGCAAACTTTCTACAATGAGCACTTTGTTTTACTTTCAGACGTTCTAAAAAAAAAAGAAAAGAACATCTAATCATAGAACCTTAGAGAAACAAGATCCTTTAACTCTATGTAATGTCTCCATCGACAGGCTGTGCGCCTCCACCGTCAAGCTGACGGAGGCCAGGCTGCCTGCACCCTGTGCATTCTTTTGCCTGGAGTGACCTGTTTACCCCACTCTTCAGAGTCAGGACTAAAGACATTTCTTTAGGGACTCTCTTTTGAAAAATATCCTAAGCAGGAACAAAGTACTGCCAAATAGCTTCCTGTCATCTCTTTCTTTCCTTGAATTAATCTGAGGACTGTGTTCTAGAAAACGGAATAGTCCTCCTTGGTTTCTTCATCTTCTACTCCCTCCCTGCTCCAATTAGCTAACTTTCATTATGGTAAATAATTCACTATTTTTCAGTTATATAGTACCTTTGTGTAAAGGGACAGTCTTTCTAAACACTTGTTAATCCTAAACACACTCTGGGGAAGTAGGTAAAAATTACTAGAGAGAAGGGAAAAGAGAGGGCAATGTCAAAGGCAGTAAAAGACGTCAATAAAACCCCTCACTTGTCTCAGTTTTCTGCTGGCAGAAATCTATGCAAGGCTGAAGAATTAGGATCTGTATTATGGTGACACTGAAGAGAGAAATTATTTGAAGGGTAACATAGATTTCAGACCTTATATGTGGAGTGCAGACCTTTATGTGTGGGCTACTGTGTTGTGTAAGAGCACAGATTGTGGGGGCATGACTTCTGTTTCAATTCCTGGCTTTACTATTTACTAGATATGTGATACTGGGCAAGTTATTCAATTCTTTCTGGCCCCAGTCTTCTCATCTGGAAAATGAAAAATAATAAAATCTAGCATACAGTGGTCACAGGATTAAATGAGATTATAAATATAAAGCATTAAAAACAATTCCCAGAACATGGTGTTATAAAAGTGTTAGCTATTCTTAGTAACTCTGAAATATATTATTTTAAAGAGGCAAATTAAAAAGGAGACAAAGACTTGAATTATCCCTACACAATTCAACATCAAACTTTACAGACTTCAGTAAAAAGAGAAAAGCTCCTCAAATCTCTAATCTTGGGTAGGCAGGAGGTATGTTTAAAGGTTAGAGGTTATGACTAAGCTCCCCAATACAGCTGAATTGGAAGAATAGTTTTCATATGCTGGGCCCTATGTGCCCTAAGATGCCACCTCCAGAAAAGTATATCACCCTTTGCTTTAACTTGATAATAGGGGCAACTGAGTTACTATATAACTAGAATTGGTGAACATACTGAAATGGGAACACTGTCACAATTAAAACCCTCACTGACTGTTTGACCTTGAATGTTTATCCCGCATCTGAAACTCCATGGGAAAACTGACATTAGTTTATTGGAGTAAATTTAATTACCCCTTTTTCTACTTGCATTCTTATCACACACTCAATACTGGTCAAACACAAATGGTAAGGTGTTTGTGACAAGCTTTTGCTGTAAATCAACAAAATAATTTTGAAACATAAATGTGTCTGGAAAGGTCACATTTAACACTGAATACAAATCAGGCATAATCAAACTTTCTTTGTTTCGTTTTATTTTGTTTTGCAGTACTGGGACTATGTGTAAGGCATCCTTTGAGTAGTATCTGTATCCCTCATTAGACTGAAAGCTCCAGGACAGCAGATGCTCTATCAGTTTCATACACATATTTATGCACCGAAGAAATGAGTAAACCAATTTGTTGTCTCAGATTCTTAGTCTTCTAATCTTTCCCTTAATTCATTCGGCATCATGTGCCATATTATGTTACTTTTATCACATTAATAAAGTGAGAATTGTAAAATCTAATTATGCTTTCATGTAACACACTATTAGTTGTTATTAAATATGAAGGCATTGCTCTGGTTAATACTCCTGGGGTATTGCCGTTACAGGCAACATTAGAGAGTGTTGCAAAAGAAGCCTCAAGATGTCCAGGTTTCTGCCCAAAGTTAGAACCTCTTATCATCTTGAGTTACATTCAGGAAGTGATTTATTTGCCAAAAAAAAGAAAGCAATTCTCCCTATCACCACAGTGCAAGAAGTCAGGGCAGAACACAGAGCATCTGGCCAGAATCAGAGCACTCAGATGAGAAGAGGCAGGCAGAGCCACAGCACTCCGCAGTCATCGCTGGAGATAAAACAGGCAACACAATTTGGGGGAGCGGGCAGGACGACTTGGACAATGCAAATGCAATCCAGACAGGTCACCCCAAAGATGATTAGGTTGGTCACACATATCTAAGGCTTTTCTCTGGTCCTTAAGGCAGCTTAAACTAGAAGTTTATATTAGGACCCCACTATTTATCCTTTATAAGTTATTTTATATAATTGTGCTTTGGTAAATTTTAGAGTAAAATATTTCAAGTTTTTATTCCAGAACGTTGTGTCATTCATTCTCAACCAATCTTTCTTAATATCTCTATATGTCAGGTTTTGAAAGAGTCCTTTTGGATTTTGTAAGTTTAATTTTAACCCAAATTAAATTAGGTACCAGTTATATGTTTGTAATGCTAAAACTGAGGACTTGTGTACATTCACAAAATGCATACAAGTAAATTCAAAATATATAATCTGAAAAATACAATATTTTCTGATAGTTTATTTTTTAATATAGCATAATCTCCACACAGAATAAGTTAGTGTAGTCTTAAAAATAGTACACTAATGCCGTTAATTCAATAAAGCCCAATATAAATATTTATTATCATATCAGTACCAGTTTAACAAAGATTTTTTTAAAGTCTCATACTTACATTGGCATCTTTCCCAGCTAATTTACATAATTCCACCCGTTCCTTTGCAGCAGGCCAATAAATCTGTAAAACATTTCAACATTTGTTAGAATCGAATATCTAAGACACCTTACAATTCTAATTAAGGAAGTGAATATGTAAATTTAAAGAGTGAATATCAAGCCAAGAACATGTTGTTAGATATGATATGAGGTACAAATTTTGAGATTTAAATATTTTCCAAAGTCACCCTAAAAAATTTCTAAGATAAAACTGTATAGAACCATCTACTTTTATTTGTTAATTTTCTTATTTATTTTTAAAGGCACTTATTCATAAGTCAGTTATGTTGATAGAGCCATAAGTTCTTATTGTGATGTCAACAGAATTTCAGATTAGCGTTTGCTTAAGTGAGGAATTATATTTTTTACCCTGTTTTCTGTGTTTACTCATTGGTGGTGCATTATAAACATGTGCAATGAGGTGTGGGCAACCACTCTTTGTCACAAGCAAACATTATCACTCCAAGTCAAAAACTAGTGTGAACTTGTTGACAATTCAGGGTGTGGAAAAAGTAAATTTACAGTTGTTTGTATGGAAAATAATACAATATGTTATAAATAACAATACAAGAATAAACTCTGTTTTGTGTACTCACAACAGTGAACCTACTTTTGCCCCACCCTATTTAACACAGATGGAGCTCAGATGCATCCGTGACTTAGCTAAGTATTCTATGTGCATCATCTTATTTAAATCTCACAAGACTTTATGAGATAGCTGTACTTACTCTCTCCACGTTCAGGTCAGAAAACTTATTCATACAGCCATGGAGTAATTTGTCAAGGACTGTGAAACTAGTTCACAGCAAAGCCAAAATATGACCCAAACTGTCTCTTGACCTTACAGGTGGAAAGGGGTCTCAACCACCACATAATACATATTACTGGGGCAAATATAATTAAGACAAGGGCAGCAAACTCCTTGGTTGGTAGCTTTTAATCATATTTTAAAAGTCTTGAATTTATCAAAAAGGGCTTGTTGTTGTTGTTGTTTAACAAATTTTAGAAATTCTGTCAGGAAATTTTTGCAAAATAGGGTTCAAAGAGTTACATGACTCCATTAGCTTACAGAAAGAAATGCTCTCTATTAAGCTAAAGGCAAGAAGAAACAAGAAAAGCAAGCTCTGAATTGCTTTTAATGTTCCAAGAGTTCCCAACAAACCTTTATTATGTTTCTCACCAATGTTAACAGAAAATGTTTTAATAGGTGAGGAAAAGGAAAATATCCTGAGGGAATACACTGAAAGAAACTTGTTAAACCTGGAATTAACAAATGATTTGGAAATCTCTAATGTTTATATGATATTATCTTCATAGTGAAATTTTAGGGTTCTATGTTTGAACAAAGAAGAACAGAAAATTGTGCTCAAACACTCTTAACAGCAATGAAATTACTGAGAATTTTAAATGAAGCAAGGTTGTTCATTTAGAGCACACTTTAACAACCTGCAATCCAAAGGTGTACACAGGCAGGGTGGCTGAGCCAACAGGAGCTCAAATGATGAGCTAACCTTCACATGGTTCATAATAAGGACCTAAAGATGCTAGTTATTCAGACATGGTTTAAATCACTGCAATTATACTTGCACACAATTTAAAAAGGTAGCCAGCAGCAAAACATGAATGAAAAGCAATAAGGGTGGATCTTAACAATTCATATTATGTGAAAATAAATATTCCTTAAAATTACAAACAACATGATCCCCTTAGAATAATGTTAAAAACAACTAAAATAAAATAGGCACGTTTCAGGTGTGTATATATATATATATAGATAGATATAGATGCAACAAATACGTAAAAAGAAAAGCATAATTGTCATGAATACAGGATTCAGAAAGATGGTTACCCAAGATTGAAAAGAGAAAAAATTGGTGTTAAGAAGCAAGTTATTTACCACATCTTAGCCTTTGTTCTGGATGACACATTTTCAGGTGTTTAACACATAATTCAAAGCAACTAAGTAAAATGAGTTAGTAATAACTAAAATAAGCCCAAATGGTCCATGGGACAATTGACAATAGTCAGTCATCAACTGGGAATTATGAATAAATGAATAGTAAAAATAAAACACTGTAGCTGGCAGGAAACTTAAAAGTTTCTTCAACTTGTTTTTTATTGGGGTGTTTTTTGTTGTTTGTTTTTAACAACTAATAGGAAAAATACTGAACTGATTGTGTTTTTTATCTCCTTTAAAAATGGCTTTATAGCCTTGGCTAGTGTGGCTCAGTTGGTTGAGGGTCCTCCGGTGCACCAAAAGGTCTCTGATTCTATTCCAGGTCCGGGGACACACCCAAGATTCAGGTTCAGTCCCTTCAGGGTGTTGGGGGAGCTCAGGAAGCAACCAATTGATGTTTCTCTCTCACCTCGATGTTTCTCTCCCTCTCTCTCTTCCTTTCTCTCTCTCTAAAAATCAAGAAAAACATTTAAAAACAAATAAATAAATAAATGAAATAATTTTTAAAAATAAATAAAAATGACACCTTTAATTTATGAAAATTTTGCCCCATATTTGGTCTTTTGAACTCAAGGTATCCTCTCACTTTTTTTCCTGCTAATTCTTTTTTAAAAATGTTTAATTGTGATAATCTATATATATATAAATTTGCCATCTCAGCCATTGTAAGTGTACAGTATTAAGTATATTCAGTTTTTGCAATCAATCTCCAGAATTCTTTCATCACGAAAAACTGCAACTTTGTACTCATTGGTTTTTCATTATTATAGTGATTTTATAAAAGACAGCTTTGTATCACTGGTCTGAAAATAAATCGTACCCAGAATGCATGTCTATGATCTCTCAATTTGTTCAGTCTTTTTTTTTTAAAATAAATCTTTATTGATTTCAGAGAGGAAGAGGGAGGGAGAGAGAGAGAAACATCAATGATAGGTCATTGATCGGCTGCCTCCTGCAGGCCCCCAACTGGGGATCGAGCCCGAAACCCGGGCATGTGCCCTGACTGGGAATCGAACTGCGATCTCCTGGATCCTAGGTCAATGCTCAACCCCTGAGCCACGCCCAGCAGGGCAATTGGTTCAATCTTTACCTCATTTTTTTGGTCTCTAATCTAGATTAATATTTGAGTCCTTTAGATATGTTAGATCCTGTTCTTTTTTATTTTATAAGATGGTCAGATTTAATCACACTTCAGAAATAAATTTAGAACAAGTATTTATGGATTTGGTCAAAGTGGAATATCTTATTGGTATAAATACTACAGAAAAAAAAAAAAAAAATCTAGACCTCTCATATAAAGTAAATGAGACTTAAAGAAGAGAAAGGTCATCAGAGGATTCTATTTTTAACCTTAAGGCAGTGTACTGGGTGATTGAGTTAAAGAAAATTGTGCAATAAATTATGTTTCTGAAAGTTAAGTATATTTATGGGGGCTTCAAAAAGGAAGGAGTTATTTAAAAATTGACAAAATGTGGAAGCAATCTTGTATCATTTTTGAAATCTAAATGAAAGTCCCAAAGTGACCATAAAGTAATTACTGATCATTAATCATTTGTTCATTAGGCACATGATTATGAAGGATATGCCCAGAAAGGTGTGGCATTGAGGTGCTAAGATCTGAGAAAGGAAGCCAGCTCTGTAAATAGAGGAACTGCATTTAGAGTGAGAAGAGAGAGCATGAAGGATGGAGCCACTGTGCTCCAGGGGCTCCAAAGAACACTGAGTGGTAAACAAAAGTTTCTGTCAGTCCTGACATCTGAGCCAATGCTTTAAATTATTTGTTCTTAATAGTTTCAACATTAATGTAATAGTTTAGTTTAATAATTTCAACTCTCATTTTGTCTTAAGAACTTGACATTAAAAGAGTGATTCTAGATTTTTTTCTCTTTGCAAAGAAATATAAACATCCAAAAGATATTTTAATGGCTTTGTACATTTCAGTTATTGATTATACGTCATGTAATTACAAACTGAATATGTCATCCTAGTTAATGAAGCAATAAAACTAAAAGTAAAAGTTTCAGAGAATTGGTATTTGAACAGTGGGTAGATGTTATATAAAGATACAAAAAACTGGGAATTTGTTGGACTCCAGAAACCAATTTTAATAAAATCTTCTATTTTCTGTTTATGAAGCGGACATTTTCCCCAAGATGTTATCTCATTTTTCATCATTTACCTTCAATCCCATAAAGTCTAGCACCTGTTAAAAATACAAATTATCCCTGGAACATTATTATTATTGCACAGGAATTCTAAGATAGTATCACAAAGATAATTTTACTTCTTAAGGTAACATTCAAGCCTCAAAAATAAAGATTAGTAGGGATTATATGTTGGCTTATTTTGACACAATGTTGTCACGAATTTAGAAATAACAAATAAAATTACCTAAGTAACAACTACCTAGGAGATATCTGATTACCTTCCAGACTCCAAACATTGACTCAAAAAGAAAAACCACTGTAGTTTTGCCAATATTTAAAAGTTATAATTTTAGGTTGGGATTTTCTTTTATTTGCCACCTAGTCATTAGAAGGTGCTTTTGTGTGTGTGTGTTTTTAATATTCCTTTTGATTTCTTTTTGGTTAAGAATTTAAAGAAACAATTTTTCTTAATTCAATCTAAAACCAGAAGAAACTAAATAAACCACACTTATATTTACATAGGGTCTGCAGAAATATGTTTAAGTAACATTTTTGCTTCTCAATAATCTTTTGAAATGATTATGTGATATATATCTCTATCTCTGTCTATGTAAAAACATTCCACCACTCGAGACTCACAGAGGAAGAGACAGAGATTGGATAAAATAACGTATTTCATGTATAGCTTTAAGTTCCAGCATAGTTAATACAAACATTCAAGAAGTGCCTAACATCCTGAGATTATTTCAGTAGCCCAGTCAGTACACTTTGAGATTACCTCACACTTAGACAGAAACCACACCTCACACTTAAACATACAATGTTCACAATATCTCTAATAATCTCTCCTGAACACTAAGTAATGTAAACAGCTTTCGGGCAACGATTATCAATATCCTCAATGCTTTTTTAATTCAT